ATATGTATATATATGTATATTCACATATATATGTATATGCATATATACGTATATACATATATATGTATATACATATACATATGTACATGTATATATGTATATATATATGTATTATACATATATATATATCGCTCCTCTCCGCATAAATGCACATATATATATATATATATGTATATATATGACAGAAACTATTTTTGAGCAGCAATTATTTTTCAAAGGCAAATTTCTGTTTCCACGTCCAAATTAACCACTCTAGTTCTACTTCATATTTTTGTTTTTCCTTCTTTTCCTCAAATTTTTATTTGAAAAATTGGATTTAAAATGCTAAGCCAAGAAATCAAAAACTTACCTTGTCGCTGTCGTTATCATCCGAAGTTGCAGCAGCGCGACCAAGTACTTTTTTTAAGTTGTTGGTGAATTCTTCGTCAGTTTCCTCGTACTCTTCCTCTTCTTCATCCTCGTCAAACTCGGACCCATCAGTTTCCTCATGCTGTTCGAGAATGTCACTATCATTATTTTCTGCAAAAACCTGTCATCGTTTGCTACCAATCAACTGTACTGTTATTAAAACCATAATAAAACAAGAAGAAACCTTTGTTCGGAATGTTCTGTTCCGGTTGCTCGGCTTCGCTACTTTCACCACCGTCTTCGTCATCGCTTGAGCTATTTTCTTTCTCGTGCATGATATCTTCGTCACTGAGGTTGATAGTCTGAAAAAGACAGTAGGAGAGGTTTCTTTTGAGTGTTTCTTTGGATTGGAACTTGCAAAAAAAGCCCATACCTCAAATATATGTAAAATATTTTTAAGCTTCATCCGAGGGATAAATGAAGCAAACACAAAATGCACCACTGAGCGATGAAATCGATCTGTCCGGCTCAGCAACGACAGTAGCAAATCATTCAAGATCTGTAAAGTGCGTATATATTAAAACAGCGCCATCAGCAAGACGCAAATTAACAAACAGTAAAAAGCAGTCAACGGAGTGAATGCTGAAAAATAACAATGCGCCACAAAAATATCATTGAGGCGGAGAGTGTATTTGTTACACCAATCAGCACCCTACTTTGGCATTTTTCCAAACAACCTCCAGGATTGCTGTTCTTAAACCGGATTAAAGTTGTAAGCAGTGGACATAACATTTGGGCAAAAACATTTTTTTTCAAATTTTACGCTTCGTTAAGTTCTTCTTTCCATGCTATCTACTCTACCATTCCTCCAATTCATTTATTTAATAAATAGCAGCGCGCACCAGAATAGCTGGTGCGAACATGGGTTTTGTGCAATTCCGCACACTGAATGATTGCCCTTTAATGGTTTTCACTACTTTGTACTTTATTCTGTGCAAAAATAATTAAAAAGCCGGAAAATAGTTAAAAATTTCACGGGCCGGCATGTAAAAGCCAAATTTGAGACATCGAAGGGTGAATATCCTTCCAAAATCTCAATTTCCTAATTTCCCGGCTTCCGAATGATCTTAGAGGCAAAACTTTCATGTGGTCGTATGTGAGACTTCGACAGGC